CTGTGTGTGTGTGTGTGTGTGTGTGTGTGTATTTTGGCGGGGGGGGGCGCTTGGATTTGGATCCCCTGTGTGTGTGTGTGTGTGTGTGTGTGTGTATTTTGGCGGGGGGGGGCGCTTGGATTTGGATCCCCTGTACTACAAAAAACACCAAAGCAACAACAACTAGGGGCTGCAGATGTGGCTCAGCTGCAGAATGCTACCTAAAATGCATGATGCCATGGCTTTGAACCTCAGCACTGGGCATGGAAGCCCATGCCTGCAATCCCAACACTAGACAGACGAAGGCAGGAGCATCAGAATTTTGGAGGCAGGGGCAGGAGTTTTCTGAGTTATAGGCCAGCCTGGTTTATGTAGCAAGTTCCAGGCCAGTTCGAGCTACATAGTGAGACCCTCTGGTGGAAACAAACAAGCACACATACACAGGATGATGTGGGGATTGTTCCAAACCCTGACCGCCAGTCCTTCCTGCTGCTTCCGGCATCCAGAGGTTCAAAGTCTCTTGTCAGGTAGCGAGCCCTGATTCCCCATTTTAAAGGCCCTGGACACCCATGGCTGGACAGTGAGGTGTGACATGGAAGAGCCTGGGGACAGACACTGGAGGGACTACATAAACCCTGTCCCGGATCAAGTGTTCTGTTTGGCAATAAGATGCTGGCTACCCACCAGAAAACCTTTGAGGGCCTGGCAAGATGGCTCAGAGAGTAAAGGCTCTAGCCTCTAAGGCCCGATGCCTGAGTCCAACCCCTAGAAGCCAGGCAAAGGTGGAAGGAGAGGACCAATCCCACAGAGCTGTCCTCAACCCCCACATGTGGCACAATAATAGAAAATCTTGCCTTTCACCTTTTGTGACAGTCCTTAGGGTGGGGGAAGCCAGGCTGGACATGCTGTGTTACTTTTCTCATCACAATGACAGAATGACTAAAATAAACATAGTAAAAAAGGAATTTATTTGGGCTCAGTTTTAGGTGTATCCATCTGTCATGGAGGGGAGGGTAAGGTGGAACACAGCAGGCCACACCATTGCAGACAGGGAAAGGAGCCAGGGCCGGATGTGACCCCCGCTGTGCTGGAGTGTAGGCACACTACCATACATGCTTTTGTTTGCTTGCTTGGTTTTTGTTTTGTTTTCTCAAGACATGGTTTCTTTGTATAACAAAGCCCTGGCTTTCCTGGAACTTGCTTTGTAGACCAGGCTGGCCTAGAACTCAAGAGAGGTCGCCTGCTTTCGCCTCCCAAGTGCTGGATTAAAGGTGTGCTGCCTCCACTGCTGGACTTTGTAATTGCCTTTATGAAGTGCTGGGGATCTAAGTTTAGGTCCTGTTTGTGAGGCAAGGGCTTAACCACTGAGCTATCTCCCTGGTTCACAGGGTTGTTGTTTTGTTTTTGTTTTTGATCCTGATCACATGGTCTCCCACATGAACTCTGAAGATGTTAATGGTGTTGCAATGTCCAAAGGCTGGACCTGCCTGTGTCTTTGTAAAGATGTCCCTGGAGTCACAGACCCAGCTCTGCTAATCTCCTGAACATCTATTAATCCAAGTCCACAGTCAAGATTAACCGTCACAAACCCATCCCTTGTCAATCTGCCGTCCAAACTGTAACACCTGCCATCCCACAACACCTGCCACCCAAACACCTGCCATGCCTCCCACACACCTGCCATCCCTCCCATACACCTGCCCCTCCAACTTGCTTTCCCTTTCAGACTTTTTGAACCCTCTCCTTTCAGGCTGCCAGTTGGAATCTTCCAACCATGTTCATGCCTGGCTCCTCCAGGAAGCCTTCCTCCACTTTTCCAAGCTCCAGGTCCTGAGCAGATTGAAGTGTCCCCATTGGTCTTTCTGTCCCATGTTACATGACAAGTGCCCAGTAGGTTTCTCAGACTTACTGGACACAACAAAGGAGACTCTGCCTGCTAAGGGTTTTTTTTTTTTATGGACGGTTCCTTTTCCTGCTGAGAGACTTTCTGGTTTCAAGGCCATGGTCCTGGCCTCTGTTCAAGGCTCAGTTACTAGCTGGGTAACATTGCCCAAGATCTCCTTGGTGGGCGGGGACAGTATCTTCACATACAAAGAGCAGATTATTAAAACTGACCTTGAAAAACTGGAAATAAGCTTGAGGTACGGAAAGCATGTTGTTTATGTTCAATGACATGAGCTATTACTGTATTAAAATCCTGGTAGAATTGTTTCAGTGCCCTGGATCAGGAAAGGATAAATAGAGTGAGTAGTGAATGAGAGTTTTTTTGTAGGATGGAGGGGATGTTCTCGAATTAGATAGTGGTATTGGTTGCAATTATTATTTTTTCTTTTTTGAGACAGGGTTTCTCTGTGTAGCCTTGGCTGTCCTGGACTCACTTTGTAGACCAGGCTGGCCTCGAACTCACAGAGATCTGCCTGCCTCTGCCTCCCTGAGTGCTGGGATTACAGGCTTGTGCCACCACACCCAGCTTAGTGCAGTGGTTCTAAACCTGTGGATCATGACCCCCTACAGGGGTTGAATATCAGATATCCTCCATATCAGATGTTTACATTATGATTCACAACAGTAGCAAAACTACAGTTATGAAGTAGTAACGAAATAGTTTTATGGTTGGGGTCAGCACAGCATGAGGAACTGCATTAAAGGGTTGCAGCATTAGGAAGGTGGAGAAATACTGCTTTAATGCCTCCTGCAGCTGGGAGCCACATCTTGTCTTTCAGCTCCCAGGAACCCCATCGTATTAAGAACCCATTGAAGACTGAACCCATGGCTTAGGCCAGAGTCCATAGGGACTGTCTCTGGACTATGAAAGACACACCCAGAGATGTGACACAGTAATCACCTGTCAGTCACAACCAGCCTTTCCATAATACAACATGATACTGTCATTTACAAGTATCAAAAACCATGTGATCAAGCTGCAAAGCAAAAATCTCACATAGCAAGTAAGTTTATGGTTGATTTTTCGATGGACTACACTCAGCTATCCTGGATCACATGTGCCTGCAGGCCATTAAATAATACCCAGGGCTTCTTGAACCTGGCTGACCCCACATCTGGCCAGTAGCTTCCCAGTCTTCCCTGGCAGGATTAAAGCAAGCATGACCTGAAGGCTCTCTGCAGCCATTCTTCAGCAATTATTTCTCTTTGGAGGCCCTGGAGGCTTGGACGCCTCTGACTATGACTATGCGCCGTGTATAGAGAAGTGGAAGGTGCAGCTGGGCTTGTGGGCAGAGAAGATCAAGATGTATAACGGAGACATCAGGTCCTCTTACGGCTGGAGGTGATTCCAGGCACCTGTGTCTTCTAGATTGGATTGGTCACATGTCCCCATATTAAAAGCATTGGACACAAAAGTTTGTTTTGTTTTTTTTTTTTTTTTTTTTTAAAAAAAAAGGATGTATATGTGTGCTTAGCCGGCATGTATGCCTGTATAACACATTATGTGCCTAGTGCCTTTGGAGGCCAGAAGACAGCATCAGATCCCCCTGGAACTGGAGGTTCAGAGGGTTGTGAGCTGCCATGTGGGTGTGCTCTTAGCCACTGAGCCATCTCTCCAGCCTGAGATCCTGTTTCACACATACACAGACACACACACACGCGCGCGCACACACACACACACACACACAAGAACACATAGTCTTGGGCAAGCTAGTATAAAATATCTGTTATCTGTTATTTTAAAAGCAGCTGGGTGCCAGGCCCAGTGTTGAAATGTCTCATAGAAATGATCCTTCTCTCTCTTTCTCTCTCTGTTTTTGTGTCTTGTTTTTGAGAAATGAGTTTCACTATGTATTGCTAGCTGTCCTGGAACTCACTATGCAGACCAGGCTGGCCTCAAACCACCTGCCTCTGCCTTCTGAGTGCTGGGATGAAAGGTATGAGCCCAGAAATAATCTCTCCTGACCCCCAAAACTTGCTGTTGCCCTTGGTTGCCTCCCAGAACTTGAAGTTGTGACTCTGTTGCTGAAGATACCTCAGAGCATGGGCACAGGACTCAGGGAATCAAGCTGGGGCTGACCTGGAAGCCTATCTGAGGACTAACTCATGGTACCGGAAGGTGCCATGCACGCTGCCAGGGGAGAAGAGCAGTCAGTAGCAAGACATCGCAGTGGTGCAGCAGCGGTGTCGTCAGAGTAACCAACAGCTCTGATTAGACTTAAGGTCTACTCAAGGGGAGGGAATTCTTCCTTGCCACAGTAGACTTAGTCAAATGACCGCGGCATGGACCCTAGAGGAACACCCACTGTTGTCATTTTCCTAAATAAGTATAACGTTTGTCTTCTAAATACTTATCCTTCTATCCACAGATAAATGTAGCTCTCAAGCCTCATCAAAGAAACTTTTTTTTTTCAGCAGTCTGGAGGCTATTGCAGGGATCCACAACTAATCAAAACACAACGAAAAGCTAACAATGGGGTACCCAGCCCAGCTGATACATCTACAACAGAACCACAACACCTAAGGCTCAGGAAACACTGAGGAAGAAGGGACAGGATGATTATAAGAGCCAGAGGACCAAGATGCTGTGAGACAGTGTCTTCTAGACATGGTGCCGCCATGAAATCTTAACAATAAGTGTGTTGAAACAAGGCCTGCATA